AATACAAGGAAAACAATATTCTCCCCTTTCTTCCATCCGGGAGTAGCTAGGTTAGCAAATGCCAAGTAATTAAAAAAAAAAAAAAAAACCCTCCAGTTTCATTTTGACTGTGCGAATAAAAATCTGACAATGTACACACACAAAAAAACCCTCTTGTTTTATAAGTAGGGAACCCAAATGCCTACTTCTGGGATTACAAAATATACAGACTATGATAACAACTACTAACTTAACCAGACTTTATCTAAAATCCTCAGATTTGAGAACAAATGAATTATTTTATGAGCTTTTAAATTCCTAAACCCAGTTAATTCCACCAAACTTCCACATTCCTAATATTTTGGATCCTCCCAGAAAAATGCTGGCCTCTTCTGTAGTCATACATTCTTTCTTAAAGTCTTTTGTTTCTTTGAGAGAGGATCTGGCTCTGTTGCCCAGACAGGAGTGCAGTGGCACAATCTCAGTTCACTGTAACCTCTGCATCCTGGGCTCAAGCCAACCTCCCTCCCACCTTAGCCTCCCAAGTAGCTGGGACTACAGGTACATGCCACCATGCCTAGCTAGTTTGTATATATATATATATTTGTAGAGATGGGGTTTCACCATGTTGTCCAGGCTGGTTTCAAACTCCTGGGCCCAAGCTATCTGCCTGCCTCAGCCTCTCAAAGGGCTAGGATTACAGGCATGAGCCACTGCGCCTGGCTACCTTCCATGATAGTCTTATCCTCATATTTATCTGTTTTATTTCCCCCACTGACCTAGCTGATCATTGCCTCTCTTTCCTAGTCTTTTTTCATAGATTCTTAAACATGTAACTGCACTATGTGCTCAGATAATGTTACCACTACCCTTATGGGATATTTGGCTCTTCCTTGAGGGCATTTCTCTATAGTTAATTATCTGTTACCTCAGTATTATTAGTATTCTCCAGGCTTCTCAATATTGTTTCCAATTAGTAGTCCTTAACTGTCCATTCAGCTGCTTGCTGCAGGTTGATAGCTCCATTCATTGAAATACTTTGAATCTGGCTCATACTCTAGCTGTTTACTCCAAGCTCTGCCATGAGCTTGAATGGGCAGCCTAGGTTGTTGGATAGCTTTTCTCAGTTCCCTGACATTCTAGATTCCATGGCCACACTATGGTCCTTGTCATTATCTGCAACTGTTTTATCACTAAAATTTTAAACTCCAGTATTAAACTCTGAGTGTGTCTTTAATCCTTCCAGCTTTTTCATTCATTTATACTCATGCATAGATCTGTTTTTGATTCTCATTATGATCGTCAGTCCCTTAATACCTTCATTTTCTCCCAATCTTAAATCTCTGATTACTGACAATATGAACAACCTTTTACAAGTCTGACTCTTTTATATACATTTGTTCATCCTCATTGCAGACAAGTGAATCTGACTCAAAGTTACCATTTCTCTGGGTTGCTACCCACCTCCCACCACCGCCACCACCCCACAGAGTAGTCAAGCAATGCCTGCATTTAACAACCACGTTTATGCATATTAGCATCTTTTAATTGTCCTTAGTCAACTTCCTCTCCTACTTTTCTCAATGACTTTCCCAAACTTGTACCTCCTCAAAACATTCATCAGTCACTGTCCTGTCCTACTCAAACTCCCTAAGGAGACTATCCTGTCTTCTAATTTAAAAAGAAAATTGAGATTACCAGGCTGCATCTTCTGCTTTCTGCTTTCTATCTCCACCTGAAAACATCTGTATCTACTCTCATCTAGTTTCTTCCAAACTTCAGAGGTATCCTTGTCATACCTCTTAGAGGAACTTGCTTATTAATCTTTTCTTATCTCCAGTATTTGCAATATGTCCTCTAATGTTCCCTCAGTCTGTACAGACATTTTATATCTTAAGAAAATTTCTTGAAAATGGAAACTACCTTGGCTTTCTTTACTTCATCTCCCACCACTCAGGCCTGAATCTACACAGCTTGTTTCATGACCTACAACTCTACTTAAACTAATCTTGCTAATGGAAACAAAGCATCTTACTGCCAAACCCAATGAACATTTTTCAGTTCATTTCTTACAAATCTTATCTGTTGCACCTGACAATTTCCCCTCAATTTTGAAAATATTTACTCCTTTGCACTCTTGTTTCTTTTGTCATATCTTCCTAGTCACTCTCCCTTGGTTTATGCCTATATTATTTTACTCTACCATCTGATACTTTATGAGGAGTCTGTTCTTGGTTATTCTAAAATATGTTTAATTGAATATCATATAGGTCAGCAAAATATAAATGTGTAGAAAAATAGGTTGATTGTTTCTAAGAAACAAAAGCTGTACTTTTAGAAAGATTTCAGTAAGTTGCTTTTAAAAAGCAGTTGACAAATTAGGCAACGGCAATAAGACTATAAAAGGAAAAAAAGAACCTAAAATAATGGGAGAAGGTACCTGCTTCTCAATGGGACTGCCACTGGCATTTGGGGCCAGAAGATTCTTCACTGTCTAGGACTGTCCTACCATTGTAGGACGTTTATAATCTCTGAGCTCTACATAGTAAGTGTCATAGTGCTACGCTCTGTATCCTGTTGTTGACGATAAAAAACACCTCTACAGATTTCTAGGGAGGCAGTACCCCCTGTGCTTGAGAATGAACAATACAGTTCTTTTTTTTTTTTTTTTTTTTTGAGACGGAGTTTCGCTCTTGTTACCCAGGCTGGAGTGCAATGGCGCGATCTCAGCTCACCGCAACCTCCGCCTTCTGGGTTCATGGGTTCAGGCAATTCTCCCGCCTCGGCCTCCTGAGTAGCTGGGATTACAGGCATGCGCCACCATGCCCAGCTAATTTTTTGTATTTTTAGTAGAGACGGAGTTTCACCATGTTGAACAGGATGGTCTCGATCTCTTGACCTCGTGATCCACCCGCCTCGGCCTCCCAAAGTGCTGGGATTACAGGCTTGAGCCACCGCGCCCGGCCAACAATACAGTTCTTTACAAGTATCTTAACTTCTTGCCTACCTTTGAAGCAGCAAACTATAAAAAATAGATAATGCATTTCAGACGTGGTTTACACGAACAAGACTGAACACCAATAAACAGACATATAAACAGGCAATTTAAAAAGTGACAAATTTATATTTATGTAAAATGTTAGAGGTATTTACATATTTATTTTTATTTCCTGCTGCTATGATCAACCATCGGGTCTACTATACTAATCTTTTAATCATACTTTCTGAGAACTATTATTATTTGAGACATTTATCCCATAAATAATCTCAAGGCTTAGTTTCCTTGTAGTTTTTAAATATTCTGATGTTACGAACTTAAAAAAATTCTAATCAAGTATTGAAATTCTTTATATTGTACAATCTGAACAACTATTTTCGCAACAAAAGAGACTATTCTTTTGTAAATAACTGAAAAATACCCATATTTTGAAGCATTAAAAATATTTCAAATGGTCTTCTTGACCTTTCTCTTACCTCTATATAAGCAGTACAAAAATTCTGGCCCCCAAATAAAAGAGAAGCTAATCTATAAATGCAATTTCTATTAGAAAGACATGTAAGTTGAAAAGGCCTTCATCTTTAATAGCTGTAGAGACATAAATTTAACGCAGAAGGGAAATATTACTAAATTTTTCCACAGGAGACAAATCAGAAATTGTTTAATAACTAAATCACTAAAATCAATGATCTAAATAATAAAACAAAAATAACTAAATGTGGAATGATTGACAAAACTATTTGCTGAGTTGGCTTCTCTAATAGGATTCTAATTACTGTAGATTCTTCCATTGTTGTCTTAAATAAAATAACAATGAGGAGACTACATCAACAAATATTCTACTTCCAGAAAATGAATTTAATTGCCTTGCTCAAAGTCTTAGGTAAAAAGAAGTCCAAGTGTAAATACTGATATTAGTAGACAGACTGGGAAATCCATTCCAGATTTTGAAGTAAATTAAGCATTTGCAGGTTCTTAATTCTTGACTAAAGAAATGAGGCAGGTAAGTTAGCAATGATACTTAAGTTAGCATGGTTGAAAGAAAGGAAACAAAGCAGAAATAAATATAAACAAATTTAAAAATAGAAAAGATTTCATTGCACTCACTTCTTGCATGCAAGTACATTCTTCAGTTTTCATTTATGTGAGTGATATGTATAGTTATATATGCAATTTTGCTACTTAAGCAAGCTTCCCTTGAGCCAGTTTTAGTTTTGTTTGGAAGTATGTGACTTGTTCTCTCAGTACCCTTTTAACTTGCCCTTCTGATGGATATTTTTTCGAGTACTCTCTTATCACAAGTTCTTGCATGAACATCTTTTTGTCAAATCACTCTTAGTAAAACACTCTTAGTAAAACTCTTCAATGAACTGGAGTGTATTAACAATCCAGGCTAATTCTCTTGGTCTATGAACAACTTAGAAAATAGCAAATGTTATTATTATAGCTGTTAGTAAAGCTTTAGGAATTGCTATATTTAACTGAAGAATATTTATTTACAGTATAAAATTACAAATTTATATTATATAACTATGCATGCTTAATTTTACCTTTTCATTCCATTAATCATAATTAATGATTGTTTAAATCAAATTTTCACCCATGAGCAGAAATTCTGAGACCAATTAAATCTTTAAAGTAAATGCAATAAACACAAAAAAACTTCACAGATAGTTTGCATTGCCTTTACCTTTTCTCCTGGTGTGTGGAAAAGGAGGAAAGAATAAGTATGTATATATTTTTTAAAAAATATACTTTCTCCACACTCCTAAATCTACTACTAACCACCTGTATCTTCATGGTATTTTTGTTAGTAATCAGATGCATATCTGTTATTTGTCTAAGGCAGGGAAGAAAAGTGAATTTTTAGTGCTGAGGAATTTCTGTAACAACCAGATGTTAGCTTAAGGCTAAAGGATTATGCAACTAGGCCCCTGAAATCAGGAAACTATGTTATATTGCCCAAAGAGGCCATGATTCCAGTATGAATAATGCAAAACATGTCATCTTTTAGCGTACTTACGGTAGCCACATTTTTTACAGCCTGCTCTGACACTGTCCTTGTTGCAACCTGAAATACAATTGGATAGAATTTTAGGAAGTAAATAAATATGCAAAAATCTAAAAACTTTATTGCATAAAAAAGTTTTTCATACATTTGTTGTAGAACTCCCTTCTTTTTCTTTCTTTTTTTTTTTTGTTGTTGTTGAGACAAAATCTCACTGTCACCAAGGTTAGAGTGCACTGACATGATCGCAGCTCACTACAGCCTCCAACTCCTGGCTCAAGTGATCCTCCTATCTTAGCCTCCCAATTAGCTGAGATTACAGGCATGTGCCACCACATTTGGCTAACTTAAAAATTTTTTTTTAGAGATGAGGTTTGCTTTGTTGCCCAGGCTGGTCTCAAACATCTGGCCTCAAGCGATCCTTCTCTGGCCTCTCAAAGTACTGGGATTATAGGTAAGAGCCACCGCACCCAGCAGAATTTATTTCTTTAAAAAACAGCAACAACAAAAAAGTCATCCCTGACCCAGCTTAATGACCTACTCAATTATTCTGACTCTCATAAATCAACAGAAAGGCCAATTCACTCAAATTATTATTCGACAAATACATCAATAACATTTTTTTCTAATTTAATATAATAAAAAAGAAGACACACAATGCCAACAAACATAAAAATATGCTCCACATCATGCATCACCAGAGAAATGCAAATCAAAACCACAATGAGATACCATCTCACACCAGTGAGAACAGTGATTATTAAAAAGTCAAAGAACAACAGATATTGGTGAGGCTGTAGAGAAAAGGTAATGCTTACAGACTGTTGGTAGCAATGTAAATTAGTTCAGCCACTGTGGAAAGCAATTTGGAGATTACTTAAAGAACTTAAAACAGAACTATCATTTGACCCAGCAATCTCACTACTGGGTATATATCCAAAAATAATAATAATTTCACCAAAAAGAAGCATACCCACATCTTCATTGCAGCACTATTCACAATAGGAAAGACATGGAATCAACTGAGGTGCCCATAAACGGTGGATTATATAAAGAAAATGCAGTACATATATACTTTGGAATACCATGTAGCCATAAAAAGGAGCAAAATTACGTCTTTTGCCGCAACATGAATGCAGTTGGCAGCCATTATCCTAAGTGAATTAACACAGGAACAGAAAACCAAATACTCCATGTTCTCATTTATAAGTAGGAGCTGAAATATTGGGTACTTATGGACATAAAGATGACAATAGCAGATATTGGGGACCATTGGGAGGGAGGGAGGATAAGGGTTGAAAAACTGTTGGGTACTATGCTCAGTACCTGGGTGATGGGATCATTTGTACCCCAAACCTCACCATCACGCAATATATCCAGGTAACAAACCTGCACATGTATCCACTGTATCTAAAAGTTGAAAAATAAAAGAAATTCAATAAACAGTTAAGAGTTTAAACATTCCAGGAATTTTACAACATTGAGGAAGAAATTCCAGGTTACTCTGTCCTGTCCCTCAAAAATAATTAACTTATTTTATATATATATATATATATATATATATATATATATAGACATTAAAGTTAACATTTTCTTGTTTTCCATTAGAAGGAAAAAAATCTATTTTCTTATAAGAATTGGTGAAACTCCAGATAATTTACTGGAATTGCTAGGTATTATAAGAAATATTTAAATTCAACACTCAAATTTTGGCATGAGAAAACAAACTAGTCATATACCCACTCAGTTCTGATAAATGTTTACAAATACAGTAACCCTGTATAATTAGTAGTACATGCAGGCAATGCTGAAGATATAAATACCAAAGACAAATTAAAACTGTTTTCTTTTTATTGTGATAAAATATAAAGAACATAAAATTTACCATCTTAACCATTTTAAAGTGTACAATTTAAGTGTATTAAGTACATTCACAATGTTATACAACCATCATCACTATTCATTTCTAAAACTCTTTCATCATCCCTAACAGTTAACTGTATTCATTAAACAACTGACTATTCCCTCTTCCCTCTAGCCCCTGTAATCTCTATTCTACTTTCTATCTCTATGAGTTTGTCTACTTAGTTACTTCACATATAGTGAAATCATACAATATTTGTCTTTTGGGCCTAGCTTATTTTACTTAGCAGAATGTTTTCAAAGTTCATTCCTTTTTATGGCTGAATAATATTCCATTGTAAGCATATATAGTTAAAGCGAATGTTATCCTCCAATAGTGGTTTCAATCAACAAATGAAAGGCCCTGTATACTATTATTCCATTTTCTTTGCTAAAGGGCATATAATTCCCAAACCCTTGAAACGGAGATATAATCCTAACTAAATAATATATTTAAATACAGAGTCCAAATGTAAAACATTACTAACTTTAAAATATAATGTTAAAACTATTTCTTTGATGTTATGAAGTTAAAACATTGGTTATTTTCCCCTTAAATTCTAATACTGTTTTAAAGTATACAATATTGAGGTGGAGCTTCGTGATTTACGCCTGTAATCCCAGCAGTTTAGGAAGAATCCATGAGGCCAAGAATTTGGGACCTGTCTGGGCAACATAGCAAGACCACAGCTCTACAAATTCTTTTTTTTAATTAGCTGGTCATGGCATGTGCTTATAGTCCTAGCTACCTGGGAGGCTGAGACAGGAGGATCACTTAAGTCCAGGTGTTTGTGGTTACAGTGAGCTATGACTCTACCACTGCACTCCAGCCTAGGTAACAGAGTGAGACTCTGTCTCTAATTATTCTAGTAACAGTACAGTCTATTCTGCTATAACACTTGTTTTAAAAACACAAATAACGTTCTAATGTAATTGATACATTAGGGAACAATTTGAGTATAATGTGACTTTAATGCACATAAAATGCTAATTAAATCCAGAACATTGCATACAGCTAATCTGAACCACCCAGGAGTACATAAACCACACAAGCATATATATCGCAAAACATTTCTAATGACTTCAGTTCACTGCAAATGTTGCAAACAACATCCATCCACATCTGGTGTTAAAACTTTTCATGGATTTCTTATTGCCCTCTTACTGCCATTTCATAACAACTCATGAATTGCAACTTTTCTGAAGCTCACTTGTGCAGCAAACTCCAGGTTTTGTAATATTTATGTAGTTTTAAACCAATTAACATGTGTAAAACTGTGCTACTGTTTCTATTAGGTTCCTATCTTTTTTTTTTTTTTTTTTTTTTTTTTTGAGACTGAGCCTCACTCTATTGCCCAGGCTGGAGTGCAGTGGCATGATCTCATCTCATTTCAACCTCTGCCACCTGGGTTTAAGTGACTCTGGTGCCTCAGCCTCCTGAGTAGCTGGGATTACAGGCACCCACCACCACACCTGGCTAATTTTTATATTTTTAGTAGAGACGGGGTTTCACCATGTTGGTTCCTATCTTTTTTTAAAGTGTCATTGAAGCTTTTGAGCATTGTGCTCTAATCCCATTGCTTCCATATAAACCCTGTCATAGTTAAAAATATGTTTTATTGCAGCAGAATTGACTATAAAATCTGAGGGTCTTTCACTATGAAAACAACTGCATGTTGGAAAAAAGCTCAGAGAACTGGGGTCAGTGTTAAATCTGTTTCCATAGAAACTGTATATGCTAAAAAATATGGAACAAAATTATGCTAAATGCATCATTACTATTCCTACAACAGAATAAAAATGTTGAAATAGATCTGAAATAATCTTATCTCAGCATGTGTTTGAATTGAACTCATGACAAAAGGCACTAATAAAACTCATCATTCAAGTATCTCAGAGTTTTAGAATAAACTATGAAACTTTTTTCTTGGCAGGTCACCTTCTGTAATAAGTTGAAACTTTTACATGAAAGGGAAATATAACTAGAACCCTAAATAAAGTACTTTATATCAGCTGTTTCCTCACCAGTCTTTGGTTAAATTATGATTTCAGCTTCATTAGTCTTTAATTTTCATGACTGCTTGGGCAACTGAATACTTCTACCCAAGAGTTTTAATTTGAGGCAACTGACTTAATGGATCTGAGACAAGTGACACAATGAAGTGGGGACAATTAATTCACTCTGCTGTCAGGATCCAGTTTCCAGGGGCACTGATGTCACCGGCAGTAGCAGTCCTAACAAGGTCTGGCCTTGTGAAGGATCTTGGATATGGTTTCCCTGGGTCATTTCTATTTTCTGACCTTTATTATGCAGGTTTTGCTTAGATTCAGTGACCTATCTGATATCTTTCCTTTTCTGCCTAAATTACCTAGTCAGTTTCTATGGTTTGGAATAAGAACCCTGGCCTATACAATGGTACTCAGAATCCATGTCAAACTGACTATAGTAGGGCCATATTGTGAGGCCCTACTCAGCTAAGTTACCTACTCCCCTGCCTTAGGCTCCTGTGCAGTTCTTCGCTCCATTCCTTTCTGAAGTTTGCTAAGGCCCAGAATAACACAGTGTGCCTATCTCAAAACTTTCCTTTCTAATCATGACCTGCAATCCAAAAGGCATTAAATAAAAACTTACAAATTTGACATTAGAAAAAAACTGGCAAAAACCGCCAAAAACAAATTCAAAAGACACATGAAAACTTAAGAAAACATATTTGCACCTCATAGGACCAAAAAAGGGCAATTATCCCTATGTATACAGCTTAGCAAATCATTAAGAAAAAGACTAGTAACCAATAGGAAAAAAATGGGCAAAGGAAGTTCACATAAAAGGAAATAGAAATGACTCTGAAACATGTCGAAATATGCTCAGTCTTATTTAAAACAACAGGTAAAATGCAGATTAAAAACTATACTGGGATTCCATTTTCACTTATCAGAGTAGCAAAGATTGAAAAGGTTGAAGGAAGTGTAGGGAGGCATACTCTCATACATTGCGGGTAGGAGCATAAATTAGTACTATCTCTATGGAAAGCAAGCTGACAAAACCTGTCCGAATTACAAATGTACACACCTCTCTAATACAGCAATCTCACATTTGGGAATGAGTCCTCCCAATTTATTTGCACAAATGCATACTGACTTATGTATAATGTTATTCATTA